TCCGGAACTCCAGCCCGCAGACCTCGCGCGTTGCCTGAACGGGCGGCGAGCGCGGGGGACTCTGGGGCGCTGGGGTGTGCCCGCGCGGCATGCTGGGTCTTGTAGTCTCTCCTCCAGAGTCCTTTATGGGGCCCGGCGCCCTCCAGGGTTCTCCTGTGTGTGTGGCTGGGTAAGGAAGCGGAACTCGCTGCACCCCGCTTGGAGGAGGCCTTTCCTGTGGGAATGCCTTGAGTTTACACATGTCTTCATAGGCTGAAGTACAAATACCACTCTCCTCAGTTCAGTGCACTTTCACCTCCTGGAGAAAGGTCCGTCCCTACCTGACTGAATTCTGCGGAAGAATTCCTGTTCACCCCATAGATGAGACCTAAGAATATAGCTACATGAGTCTATTGGAAATAAAAAGGTGGATCTCAAACTTTAGTTTGCATCAGAATCACCTGGAGGCCTGGGAGTTGGAAGGAAAGCATTTCTGGGCCCAGTCTGGGAGTTGCTGATTGAGTAGGTGTGGGACAGGTGGGAGAATTTGCACCTCTGACAACTTCCCTGGTGCCGCTGCTGCTCTGGGGTTTACAATTTGACGACCACTGAAGAAGATGAAGATATCACGGCCTTGGTCCCTATAGAAAAAGTTTTCCTCAAAGGATCTTATTTGACACTGTAAGAATACAGTAGGAGACGTATAGTGACAATATATTTTGGACTGGTTTACATCAAATTAGTGAAGAGAACAAAGACGTATCCATTTAGGTCTTCTCTGATCCAGACCCAGGGGTGGATATATTGGAGAGCAAGGGAGGTAGGGCACAGAGAACAACAGATATAAAGACAAAAGGGGAAAAGACATTTTTAGATCTGCTGCATTTTTGCAGTGTAGCCTACATTTGAACTTAATGGAATGACTAATCTGCTCCAGACTGGTCGAAAGACCACAGCTGTTTGGAAGGCAGTGTAACAGAGGGGAAAGAGACAGTGCTTTTGAAGTCCAATCTGAATTTCAATCTTGGTCCTACAACTTACTAGCTCCACATTCTTGGACAAGCTACTAAACATTTTTGAATCTCAATTTCCTCAAATAAAAAAGGACAGTAATAATAATTCTATATTTAAAATATTTAATTTGATAAGAAAATGAGGTAAAATGAAAATTACTAGCTTACTACGCCTAGCATAGTGTATGATATGGTGAATATCCAATCAGGATTTGTTAAAAATAAAACATACATCACAACAGAATGATAATGAAAAGCCAAAATACTACACATCACGAGGTATTTGGTTCTGTTTTTTTTTTTTTTCTTTTACTTTTTTACCATGCAAGTATTGGGTCAACCTGTAGGTTCAAATTCAGAAGCTTCAAGTATGAAGGTCTGTGGACCACAGGCAATGAACCCACCAAGAAAGCTTTGAAGAACCCTTCTCAGGAAGTTCTGTCTGTAAGATCATTTTATAATGTGCCCCATAGGAAAAATCAGCTGATTTATTTCCAAATGAACAGAGTCCAAATCCAGGTGAAGTGATATTCTCATTTTGACTTGGTCAAAGGGCTAGTTATCAGAGAAAACAAAATAAAACACACTAGTTTTCAGGAGTTGTGCGTGCCATTCTCATTCAACTGTGAAGACTGCTCTTCTAAATGATGATGGCTAACAATTCATTCCATCTCCATCCAAAAAGGAACCAAGCAAATGAAACCAAGCAAGCTTCTGAAACAGCCCATAAGCACTCAAATCTTCAAGTTCTAAACATCCCAAAGAAGCATCATTTTATCTTACATGGAAACAGGTGCAGTATCATTCAACAACGCTGACTGCTTGAAGAGAAGTAGCTTGACAGTAACTTGAGAGTTCAAAATGTTTTCAAAGAAGTGAAGAAAAAGCCTTTCCAAAAAAACCTAATCCCTGAGGTCCAATCTTCTGAAATACCTAATTACTCTAGATATCCAAAGTAAGTGTAATGTATCATAGGAAACTGCCATGTTTCTTCTCTCCATCCACCCTAAGGGTTGTATTTTTCACTGACGCCGTAAGGTACATGAGCTGTGATGGTGCCAAATTTCTGTGCCCCTTCAATGTGGAACATCTGGTCATCAAAGAAGATGTGGGGCCGGATTTTCACCAGGATGGGACCTTTGGGGGCTCCAGCAAGGAAAAGAGCTTCATCTATCTCTAGTCCCCAGCGACAAAGAGTCTTCAGCACACGGGCACCTGAACTGGCTGCACTTCTGGCTGTAACCAGGTAGGTCCTGATGGGACAGAGTAACCTTTCATCTTTAGCATAAAATTTCTTTTGCAGACGGCCTAAATCTTCCAGAAAGCCTTTTAGGGGACCCTGTAAAAGGAACATATGGCACAGCTGTCAATCAATGAGTGAAGGGAAGTGACACTGAAAAACCAGAGGCTTTTAAGAGCTTATTAAATATGTAACTCTACATGGCATGCAGTGTGACCTGGCTGAGAACACAATGCTAAACCTGCCTGGGTTTATGTGACTGCATTACTTGATATACAACCATCCTTGCATTCCCGGAATAAACCTAAGATGATGAAGTAATTTATCATCTAAGGCAAGGTCTTTTAAGTGTGCAGGAATGTTCTATAAATAATTAAGGACAATGGTTGTAAACTATCCAGAGAAAGATTCCCACTCTAACCAAACCCCAGTTGGTGGTCAAAAAAACTACTTTTAAAATTCTCTAGGTTTGCACATTTCAGCTTTAAAAATATACTCCTTTGTCTAACTCTGTCCACTTTGTTTTATATTTACAGTTACTTTATATATCTTCATTATTTCATTTTCAACCTTTCTAAATACTTAATTATATCATTTGTTGTACAATAGCAAATTGGATCGGACTATGTGATCCAATCTGAAAATCTTATGTTTTAAATAATTGTTAACTTTTAGCCCAAGTACATTTGTTCATGTTACAAAAGCACTTGATATTGGTTCTGTGTTATTTTTATTAAGAAGCTTTGCATAATTTCCTTCTACTGGTTATCTTTATAACTATACCTTTTATTGTATCTTAAAATCATAAGTTTGTTATCCTCTATAATGAAAAATAAAGAAATAAGAGTTTTTCAACATCTCTCTGCTTTTCTACTTTTTTTCTATTTTTGTCATCTAATGTTCATGTGTTTACATCTCCATTATTAAATAGCCCATATTTTCACCCTTGCATTTCACCCTTTGGCTGGCCACTGTAACTGAAGATAGCAGTATACTGATAGACTTCCTTTCCTCACATTATCCCATTTTTCTTTTCTTTTTTTGGTACTGGGGATTACACTCCAGACCTTGTGCTTGTGAGGCAGGCTGTGATACCACTGAGCTAAATCCCTGGCCCCCATCCCATTTTTTATTAGATCTATAACTTTTGCTTTGGTAGGACATGGTATTCAAATTTTTTTCCAGTTACTCTAGCTCAGCTATTTTAGTATTAAATTTGGTCACATATATCCTGTGTCCACTTGTGCCTTAGAATACCCAGTCATCCTTAGGTTGGCCAGTGTACTGTGGTAATAACTGTATAGCTGTTCCTCTTCACTTGAGTGACCGTCTGTGTTTTCTTTCCATAAGGTCTTATAGATCATCTTTTGCCATCAAGTGCAGCTCCTGAGAAGTTTGAGCAAAGCTCAACACTCCCAGTGCCTACCCACCACTTATGGTGATTGGTTTTTCCTGGAAGGTAGTCCAAAACGTTATTCATTTTTGAAGTAAAATAATTTCACTCTGCCATAATCTCAGTGATTATCATTCAGGCTCTTTTCCCCTATAAGACAATGTGGGCCTTTATCTCTAATAATTTAATCCTTTAGTACAGGCATTAAAGTTTTCTGATAATTCAATAATATATTGACATATTTTATACAAATTTGTTTCTTTATATTTAACTACACCTCACCCAACATAATTGTAGTTATTTTCTTCAAGGATTCCATTTCTGTATATGTTGGTTTTTCTTTACCTAAAATCTTGTCTTTTTCTATCTAAACTATTACTTTAAATTCTATTCATTTCCAGCATTTTGACATTTCATAATCTGTCATATATCCTTTGATAATTGCATTTCTGCTTTCTGGTTCAGCTATATTATAATTTAAATGTCATGGAAATATTTAGTCACCACCTTTACCTATATTGTGGCACTTTTTCTTACAAGACTTATTCATTTGTTATTAGATATTATTCTTTGTTTTTATCTGTCTTTTTCTTGTAGCAATTTTGCCTATGTTTGAATCCGCTGTTTTTATAAGTTTTACTGGCTTAGACTGGTTTTCCTTGGGACAGTTAATCTTACAGGGAAGGCTGAGGGTGGTACTGGAAGACTGGCTTGTTTTCACATTTCCAAGACTTTTTTGTCTGCTAACATAGACAGCTTAAGAGAAACATAGTTCTTGTGTAAATATTTGTTTCTGCTTTCTCTGACAGAGTATATGTTAGAAAAAGCAAGTAAATTTACTTCCTGAAGGTGAGAAGCATACATATAGGGGCAAAATTGTAAATTTTGCTTTTTTGTGTGTGGTAATAATGGCAAGATTGGTATAATCATTATTGGCTTGAACCACCCTGGTCACCGGGAGTTTGTCTAATATTCAGAGGGGCACAGTTCTTGTTGCCTGTGAATACTTTCCAAAAGGAAGAAATAGAGAGTACTGAATTTATGTCACCACTGTCAGACTGGGAAACCATCCCACCCTCTTTTACTTCTATTTTGAGTTATATTTTACAATATACATATTTCTACATTAGTAACAGTATGTAATTTGTCAATAAAATAAGGAAATCCTATAAGTCATTAAAATATTTTTTGATGGAATATATGATTTAAAACATTTGCAATCTGTCTAAGATATAGAAAGCTTTAAAAAAGGTTATTCCCAACCTAGTAAGAAGAAAACTCAGACAATCTGAAAAAAACATATTTTCTGTTGAGTCCATCAGAGAGCTGAAATCAAAAGGCAGCCACTGAGCATGGAATCTGAGAAAATCACTGGGAAGATTAACAGAATACAAGTAAATGATCCACCAGTTCAGATTCAGCTTGGAGAATGTGTTGATGTTTCAAATTTCCTTTGGTTCCTTTTAGACCTTGATTTTAACACTTCATTACAGGGATGGATTCCAAAAAACCTTAATATTTACTTTCAGTTTGATTAGGTGGTCATAGATGCACTTACTTGAGGCTCATTATTTGATTCAGATTCAAGGTCTGAGTCTTGCAGATTTTCTCAATGACACTATGCCTCTCTTGACTTTGGGGTCAAAACAGAAATCCAAGAGATTACTAAACCTATTGGAAAGGTCTTTACTATTTGCAGAACCCATAATCATGAAATAGCATATTTGTAAGCTGTGTTACCTCTGCTGCTTATAATCCCATTGTGATGGGAAGGACCACTAAAAATAGTTTTGAAAAGCTGTTGGCAATACATGTTTCTAAGTAAGGAATTCATGAATGATACAAAAACTTCAAGGATAAGACAGTAAAGAGAAGCCTCCCCAAACTAATTTTAATAGCCAGCATTATAAGCAAGTATGTATGTTTATATGTGGGAAAATAGTTCTATCCAAATTCAGAGCTTATTGAACCTACCTGAGCGAGAGGCTTATTCTCAAACATTGTTTCATGTTGAAAGAACTTGTCCAGTCCATGCTCCTTGGCGATGTGTTCAGACTCATCTGAGAAGAGGACAGCATCCCCGTCAAAGGCCACTCGGAGCTGTGTGTCACAGTAAGCCATGTCTCTAGCCCCATCAAACATTGTTGCAGAAGCAATTCCTGAATGAGCAGGGGGACTGATTAATTCTCTCAGAGCCATGAATTTTGGTTTCTTCCATTTAAAACAAATACCAAATAGTTTCTCTGGTGTGAAAAATTAAAAGTGTAAATAAGGTCCAAATGGTATAATTGGTAGTGTGAAATAGGAAGAAAATGGCTAAAGGGGAAGTGGGAGGGGAGGGGAAAGGAAATAAGGGGAAAAATGTGAAATGAGGAAAAAATGGAAACAAAGTCTTTGTAAATAGGGAAGGGTGGAGGGGGTGAAGGGATAATGGAGCTCCTGGGCGCAAGCACACATCTCAGCTGTCTATGAGTGACTCTGTCTTCTAAGGAATGGGATGTGCTAAATGGGCTGTAGGAAAATCACTAAGGATGCCCACCTGCAGGAAGGTCAAAGCTCTAAGGGCCAGACTCAAGGGCTGCCACATGGGGAGACTCCTGGGCAGAACAAGAACACAACCCACACTACCCTACAGGTAACCCAAGTAAGGGACCACCAGGGCAGACCCCGTTATTAACAGAAGGATAAAACCAGACTAGTACCTGCTTGTATTGCCTCCTGTACTTTTTCAGAATCCGCAGAAAGATACAAGTTGGTGAGATACGCCTTCAAATAGCCAATGGGGCTTTTGCCACCAGTCAGACAGAAGCGGTCGATTAGGAGTCCTATTATCAGGCACGAAAGACTTTGTTATGGCTGGGACTAAAGAGAAAATCCTGGGAGTCCAGAGGAAAGTTATCTTAGGCATAGAGTTTATTTCTGTATCAAAGTGAGTTCATCCATAAACCTGTGTGAAAGTCACCATAGAAAGAGCTGAATATTGGAACCACTTTCAACACGAACACTGAAGAGCTTCTCGGTACGTCAGGTGTGGGGCGGATGTCTACTGCCCTGCAGCCAATGCAGCGCATGCATGTGGATCATGCAGTCACTCACAGCCACTGCACACAAGGTGCATACTCACTAACGAAGACCGATCCGCCTGACACAGGTGCACACCTACAGGGCAGGCCTGAGCCCACATGTGGGGTTCCTGTCTGGACTGGGACAATGTGTTCTTCTCCTTGAAGGCCACAGCCTTCGCCCTTGTCGAAACAGGGCATTAAAGTGTTGTTGTATTTAAATTAGTTCTGTATTATTTTGGTAACTATACAATAACAAGTAATGATAGGATTTGAACTATTTTTAAAAAGCAATAAAATGTCTAAAATTGTCACTTTCCTGACGTGAAAATTTTGTCTTTAGCAGAATCAGTATTCAAATACTACTAAATGGCTTTCAAATCAACAGCAATTAAAAAAAAAAAAACCCAGTGGCCGTTGGTAAGAAGTCTATAAACTAGGCACCCACACATATTAGAGATGAAAGTATAAACTGGTACAAACTGTCTAGGAAGTAATTTGACAATATGTGTCAAGAGCTTTCAGAGGTTTATACCTTCTGACCTAGGATTCCTTTTTTCTCAGCTGTTCATCCTAAAGAAATAATATAAAACTGATATTTATGTAAAAAGGTCATAGTGAAACTCATTCCACATGGTGAGACTAGATAAGCTGTAACCTCAGGCATGTGATAAAATATTCCCTATCTAATCAGAGACTTCCAGATCTACATGATAAACTCACAGCTTAATAGATAGGAAGCGGATGGCTGAGCCAGGTCGGCTGTCCAGTTGGTATGGGCAAAGGAGGGCGGAGGAGCCAGGGAGGGGTGTGTGCTTTGCTGTTAACAAAATACTCTCACTTTTCACTCAAGGCAGAGTTGGCCATATGTGACTGCATCAATCCTGAAATAACATTATTTTAATGATCGTGAAAAAACGATGACACTAGGACCTCAGAAATAATTAAAACAGTGTCCCTCTTCTCAAGGAGATCACAGTGCGTGAAGTCAGGCATGTAAAACTTAATTATAACATTACAGTGCCACAGCGGAGGGTTACAAGATGCCTTCAGCACCCAGAAAAGGGAAATAACTAACTCTTCTGGGTGAAAGGTTGTTATTCTATAAAGAAGGCTGTGCTCAGTGGGTTAATCAGCAGAATTCAGTTAAAAACAACTGATTCCACAGGCTTCCAGCCTCAGTGGGCTGAGCATGGTAAGGGACAGACAGACATACATAAAGTTCTGTATGTTTAAAATGGTGCTGTTGAGCAAGCATCATGTGACACTCACCTATGCTCAGTCTTTTGTACACAGTTCCTGTTTTTACTTTATAATACTATCATGCTGTATTTTTAAAAGATAAAATCTTTAAAGTATATTTCTGTAAAATACCAGCCTTGCAATGAGAATAGTACAAGTTCAAAACAGAGTAGCTTGTAATGCAGCTTGATTATCTACAAGTATGCTCCACTGAAACCCAGAATTGAAAGGTATGCAATTTAAAGCTGACTTTGATTTCAGGTATCCAGAAGACTGGGTCTGTCACTTAGGAAAGAGGATAACTGCTACAAATAACACGTCAGGCATTTCACAGCAGGAAAAATAAAGGCCAAGAAAAAGTGACACGCTGATGGAAATTCTCTAGGGATACAGCCAATCCAATTTTCCATGTAGAGGAGTAAGACTGTATTCCTGGCCTAAGCAAGGGTTTGATGTGTGGGAGAATCGGATTTTAAGAGGGGAAAGGAGCGGTGAAAACCTTTAAACCCTGAACATGGATCTGTGGTGAGCACAAAGTTTGATCACACAGAGAAAGCCTTTGGGTTGACAGCTCCTTGAAGTCAAGTTCAGAAGTGAAAAACATAAAACAGAGAAATATATTGCAGGACCTGGGATTAAGACTTTGAAACTCACACTTGACAAGTTAAAGCCAGAGCTTTGAGCCCAACTGTGTGCTGAAGTTAAAAATGAACATGGCCTTTCTTGTTCTGACATAGGCAAATAAACATTCCTCACTCAGAAGGGTGTCAGTATCAAAGACGCTACACTGCTCAGGCCACGGTTAGCAAAATAACATGGGTGCTCTCTTCCAGAGCTGCAAGCTGGTCTTCCACATGGTATTTATTTTACTTACCGTAGTGATTGACGCTGTTTATAAGCCTCACTCCCACTTGGGCATGGTTATTAGTCATCAGTACAATATCAAATAAGTCCTGTTCATCAGGATACAGTTCGCGGAGTCTGGCATTGACGTGCTGCAGGGCCTGCAGGTTACAGACACGGCGGACATAAAGAGGGGCAAGGTGGGCAGGGGGAGGCTGGGGGCAAGCGCTTTTGGGGGGCCGACTGCGGTGCTTTCCCGCAGGGCTGGGCGGCTCACTGCTGTATTCTGCCTCTCAGGAGAGAGCACCCTGAGCAGAGCCTTGGTGAAGATTCACAACCTTCGGTTTATAGGGTTGCTTCCGGGAGACAGGTAGAGAGGAATCAAACTGACCCTTTCATGTTCTGTCTGTTTGGATTTGTAAAGTCTGTTCTTATTGATCATCTAATGATTGTTTTTATCGTCGAAAATATGAAATCTTTCAGGAACTGGCATTTCAGTCTCGAACACAGGCCAGGCGGCACGGTCCGATCTCTACTGTCGAGCCTTGGCGCACGAGCTGCACAAGGGAGCAACACGCACTGTCTGTTTCATAAACAGTTGTCTTCGGAATCGGTCTGCGGTTTCCTCCCACATTTCCCCCACGTCCCATGAGCGCTTGCCCCCCGACTTGTAGAAGTGCCATTTATAATTGCGTGGTTACAACGTTATTGGGTAATGACTGTATGCTAGGTAGGGGTCAGTTACAAGTGCTACATATTTCAGACCACACTCACGTCCCTAAGTGCCAGCTTGATTTTCTTAATCTGCTACCAAGTGAATTCCATCTGTTTTAATAAGGCTTTTTATTTTCAATACTCAGGATGGTAACCTCACAGCTGTTTCTCTGCTCTTCTTCAAGGGAGGGGGCAGAGGCTTCTGTTCACGGTTCCGCCCCAAATCTAGGGCTGTGGGGGACGGTCCTGAACAGCCTCCTGAGGCTACAGGCCGCTGTGGGACACACACCCGGGAAGGCACAGAACGTCCAGGAGCTAGCAGATCAAGGGCCCCGGGCCTCGGGCCGGCAGTACCTTGACGAAGCGGAAGGCGGGCCCCGGGGTCAGCACCACGTTCTCGTTGGTGAGCTGGTACTCCATGTACTTCTCCAGGCCCTCCTCCTCGTAGATGCGCCTGTCGTCCACCATGTTGAACAGGGCCCGGGAGGAGACCGCGACGGTGATGGCCTGCTTGGGCTTGGGCTGCGGAGGGCGGAGGGCGGAGGGCGCGGGCGGGCGTCACCGC